CTTGCTGTACTCACATCCCCGCAACTGTGCCTCGATCCCTTTATCTTCTATCACAAACATTTCATAATTACCTACCTTGGAAATACATAATGTAGAGAATCCTATGTTTAAGGATGGATATGTTACAGATTCAACTATGTTTCTTGAGACTACATATAATAAAAGGCTAAAAGGCTGGCAGAACATGGTTAACCCATAATATGGTATCAACTATGCTCACCCCAAGAACTTTTGGACAATTGTAAGTCCTAATTACTTTGCCCTGAAGTCTTCTCACTTTAAAGGCTCACATGTTAAAAAGATGTAACATTTTTTAACCTGATGTTTATTTTCATATTCTTCTGACATTAATCTCTTAAGCATCTTTCATCACACCAAATGTTCAGGTAGCATTAATTGGGATGTGGTGCTACCAGGCTACCTAGTCCTGATGGCTTTCCTTCCTGCTAATCCCTGGCAGCCTTTAACAAACACCACTGTCCTGGGTGCTGACACAGGACAGTCGTTACCATCAACTTCCACTCAGGTCACCCTGATGAGAATCACCCAAGTCCTGGGTAAAGAAGGCCATCTCAGCTATTTAAGGAAAAGTACTGTAGTTCAGTCTGCGTTTCTTAAACAGTTTTCTTTCTTCAGAGAAGTCTCCCAAGTTACAACAGCTTTGGCCCTACCCTTTCAAATTCATCTCCAGTCTATGAGTTTTGCCCTTGTGCCTCAGAAACTGCAATCTCCTCAGGCTTCTTTCTCCATATTTCCTGGAGAGTATGACTCTGGCTCTGAAAAAAAACGGTCATTTACAAGGAAGAGACAGTTCAGATGCATGTAGTTGTTTGTAGGCTGTCTGTCGTCCTTCTTAGTTCAGCTGACTGCTTGGAAGAAATACCACAAATAGTTTTGAAAGGAGGATCTGAAGCGGGTACTAAATTATGAAGTGTTGCAAACATTGGAGAAGAAAATAAAGAAGGATTATTGGCACCATGAAAATGGTAAAAAAAAAACAAAAAAATTAAAAAGAAAGAAAGAAAGAAAAAAATTTAAATCATTCCTTCCACAGAACTGACAAATGAGATTTAGCTAAATGAAATATAAGTATATGAATTTGAGAACTACAACAAAGAATGGCTGGGAAAGGGCTGAGGAAAATGGCTTTAAAGTATGAGGATTAAAGAGCAAATGTGCTCATAAAAAAGTTCTCAATGGAATAGACAGAAAACAAGTCATTTTGGTTAATTATTCAGTAGAGACAGTGGGTTTTGTTTTACAGATGGGAAAATGAAACCTTTAGAGGAAAAGCGACTTGAGTATTATCATAAAGAAACAGGGCCCCACTGTTCTGATTCTCAACTCCCTTTGCACCAAAATCCAAGTGACATTCCATCTTTAATGTTCTATTGTTCTCTAAACTCAAAACTCAACCCTGTAGGATGTGGAAACTTTGATGCTCTTGGAAACTCCTTCTATATTTGTCTAATGCCAACTTCTGTGTGAGAAGAAGTTCAACCCAAAAACACAGGGCTTGGCATGGTCAAAAGCTCATTACAACTTCTCATTAGTTGCGTCTCTTGAGGCAACTATGGCATTCCTGAGTGTGACTCAGTATCTTCAGTCCTAACTGGGGTTCCTGATTAATCTGAACTGAGCCTGAATAAAGGCCACAGTAAGATCCAAGCAAATGAAGCAACATATCTTGTAGGAATAAAGTAAAAAAATTACATGAAAATTTCTTGAAACGTCATCTTGCTACTAAGCATAATAGTACCTAACACTGATTTAGCATGTATGACATACCCGGGACTGTATTTGTGCTTGATATTCATCAATTCATTTATTTATCTTAATAACCCTATGAGGCAGGTACTATTAGTATTCCCATTTTAAAATGGGAAACTGAGTCACAGAGATGCTGAGTACCTTGCTATGCTGGCTAGAAACAAGAATTACTTTAGAACAGTGAGAATACACCAACTGATACTCAGGATCCTGATTTCGAGAGCCATGAAAAGTTTCTCTAGATTAAAAAATTACTTCATCAATCCAAATAAGTATGGGGTTTAGTTCACAGTAACGTGCCCATGGCAGTTTCCTAGTATGGTACATTCCTCAAATGCACCACGGCAATGTCAGATGTTAACAATGGAAAAAATACTGGGCAAGTGGTACGTGGGAGCTCTCAGTACTATCCCTACAACTTTTCTGTAAATCTAAAATTAAAATACAGTCTGTTTTTTTAAAAAAAACTTTATCAGGATACTTGACAGAGAGAGCTTTTCATTGTTCAGAAGAGAAACCATGCTATTCTTTTTCCTAAAAATCAGAAAAATATCTGAAAAGAGTGGGGTCCTCACAACACTGTACATTTTACATGTTAAGTGAGAGAATGTTAAAGTCTCTGTTAGTACTAACTTAGCTTCAGAGACTTGTCCTAGAGTTTTAAAGGCAAATTGGAAACTATTTCCTGGAACAATGCCTTACAGCATGCCTTTTGATACCTGGATTATATTACTTAAATTCTGAAGAAATCTTTGCTTTTTCCCCCTTCTGTGCATTTTTGATGCTGAGCTGTTTCCGGTTTTCCCACACTCTTGCCTGTCACAGAGAAGAAACCACAAAAATGCTGCAAAGCAAAGTCTGCCCAAAGAGCTAAAATTCCATCTCAGGAGGCTGCGGAGTTCTACCGCCAGCAGTCAGTTCAGGGCAGTAGCAAGCAGTGTCTTCAAATGTCCAGCCCTGCTGCCTGGGCCCACCTCTCCACCAGCTAGCCACACAGGCCACCAAGGGCCCTCTGAGGGTACTGGCAATAATCGGAGAATCCACAAGGGGCACACTGGCAAATTCAACATTAGCATTTTACTCACACATTTTCCTAGTTAACTATGGGCTTTCCAAATCTGTGAAGGAGAGTGTAGTTTTAGAATGCATATGATGGGGACCAAGGCTTACTGAGTTCTTAGCAGGGCCAGGTCTTACTCCATGTACTTTACACATATTAACTCTGTTAATATACAACAACTGACCTAGGAAGTAGATACTCTTATTGTTTTACTTTTACAAATGGAAACATGAGGAATATGAGACTAAGAGATCAAGTAACGTGTAACTTGCAGAAGGTGTCAAATTAGTAACGTGTGGCCTGAGGATGTGAATCCAGGCAGTCTGGCCACAGAGGCTGCACACCTAAGGATTTTTTTTTTTTTTTTTTGAGATGGAGTCTTGCTCTGTTGCCCAGGCTGGAGTGCAGTAGCACAATCTCAGCTCACTGTAACCTCCACTTTCCAGGTTCAAGTGATTCTCCTGCTTCAGCCTCTTGAGTAGCTGGGACTACAGGCATGCACCACCATGCCCAGCTAATTTTTTTTGTATTTTTAGTAGAGACAGGGTTTCACAGTGTTAGCCAGGATGGTCTCGATCTCCTGACCTCGTGATGCCCCCGCCTCGGCCTCCCAAAGTGCTGGGATCACAGGCATAAGCCACCATGCCCGGCCTGGATTTGACTCTACTCTTTCTAGGGTGAGAAGACAGAGTTTCCTTTCTATTTTGCTACTGTCCTTCAACCACAAACTTCAGCCTTCCTACTGCCCTTTCCTACTACTCCAGAGAGTTCTGCAGTCATTACAATGCCAGCTCTTCCCAGAACAGTGCTTGGTACTTAGCGGGCACTGAATAAATATTTGCTGGATAAATGAACAATGGCGGCAATATAATTAAAATAGTCACAAGGGATTGTTTTCTATCTAAATCCAGAATTTGATTCACCAACCAAGGAAAAAACAGTAATGACTTTTTCTATGTTTTAGGATTCTTCTCACAACTAATACTGATCTTCTGAAGGACAAATAAACAAGGAGCCTCAATGACAGCAAGAGAAATACACAAATCTCTACACGAAAGCATAGCAAGAAATGCCTGCCTCTTCTAAACACCTCTAAAAGTTCCCCAAGTTTAAACTGAAGAAGGGCTGCTAGAACCAACACTCTTCACCAATCTATTTCTAGCTCACTGGCTAAACAATGGCTGGAGGTAAGGGATTTTGACTTACAAAAATTTGATTTGGGAAAGGAAATGTCTTTTTGGTGTAAACAGGTAGACTACAAAAGGTATTAAAAACACTGTTGCTACACAGAGCTTGCTGACTAAGGCCGACGAAGTTATATTATCCCCCTAGATGAAATCTCAATTCTCTATCTTCCCATTCAAATGCCTAAAAGTGAACAAATCAAGGGGAATCAGGGTGTTGAATTTTTTTTTTTTTTTTGAGACAGAGTCTCACTCTGTCTCCCAGGCTGGAGTGCAGTGGGGTGATCTCGGCTCACTGTAACCTCTACCTCCTGGATCCAAGCAATTCTCCTGCCTCAGCCTCCCAAGTAGCTGGGATACAGGCGCATGCTGCCACGCCTGGCTGATTTTTTCTATTTTAGTAGAGACGGGGTTTCACCGTGTTGTCCACCAGGCTGAACAACACTCCTGAGCTCAGGCAATCCGCCTGCCTCGGCCTCCCCAAAAAGCTGGCATTACAGGCATGAACTACCGCGCCCAGCCAGGGTGTTGAATTTTATATGAAAGTGAAAAGATCTGATTTTTCAGAATGGCCGAGAAAAGACATATCAAGGAAGAAGTTTCCAGTTCCACTTTCCAAGCCCACTGTGGTTCAGAAGTGCTACCTGCTGCACTGCTGGATTGTAGCTCCTGCCACGGGCCAGCAGAGTTGGTTAGCAATGACCCTAAATCCTGCAGGCAGCTCTCATCACAGTCACCTGGAGAACCTGAAGGAGCAGGGCCTGTCCCTCCCACACGGGAAAGCTCCGCCATCTGCATGTTGCAGTAGTTCCCCAGGCCATTCTAACTTGTAACCCAAGCTGAGAACTAGGGTTAGCTTTTATTTCCCATCAGGTGTTCTTGTTTTCAGTACTTCAGTGCGAACCGTCTTGAAGGGTAATAAATAAAGAGTACTATTAGCTTAGAACTGATACAGCTCAGTAGAAATTGAACAGAAAAAAACTTACTTGGAAGCCCTCTGGGATGTTGCTCTTCTGAGCACTTGTTTGTGGTTGGGTGGGGGTTTGGGGACCAGGGAGGCGCAAGAACTTGGAGGTGGTATCACTTTTTGTGGCAGAGTGGTTGGCTTCTGGCCATTAGCTGTGGCACTGGAAATTCTGCAGCCTGCACCATTATTCACTGTCCATAAATTGGAGTTAGGTAGTGTCTGGCTGCCAAAAATTTCCAAAAAAAAAAAAAAAAAAAAAAAAAAAAAGATTGATGGAGCTCACCTTCATATCCCATTTGCTGTATGCAACTAGTCTGCAATCCTGTCAAGGGACAAAAAGAAAAGTAGAACTGTTAATTTTTTTTTAAAGAAAAAAACTTCTCTAATGTTGCCAGTACAGCTCTAGATTCAGAGAAGGGGAATATTTTGGAGCAGAGTTGAGATGGTCTTGTTGAAAGCATAATGGGCTAGGAATAAGGGCACCTAGTACACTAAGTGTTGGTCCACATATGTGAACTAGAAAAGCATTTGCTCTCTCTCATTGTAGTTTCCTTCATTGTTAAACTCAACACATTTTTAATGACTGTCTCTTTCGAGGCATGAAGTACTAGAAATAGAGCACAGAATAAAACTGACTTGTAGCTTGACTTGATTCCTGCCCACTCTGAAACTCTGAGCTCCTCTAGAAAGTTTGCATGCATAAGGCATGTGGGGAAGTCAGTGTGGCTAGGGCATGGTGAGCAAACACAGAGGGAAAGATGAGGCTGCAACAGGAACCATGAGCTAGGCCTGGTTATAATCCTCAGGCCTAGTTGAGAATTCTAGCATAGAAAACACTTTGTTGACCTAAAGATTAACGTAAGATTTTACATTTGAAAACACTTTCAAAGCAAAATTACTATACGAATACATATTATATGAATACAATTGACACAAAAATATTTTTGCTTAGAGGGTAAGCCTATAAATAAAGACCTAAAAATCACCATCTAAACATCACAAGTGCCAAAATATATAATTAGGATATAAAAGTATACTTCCTTCAAGTAGATGCTTAAAAAGTTTTTACAATTTATCTATTTCATTAGAAATAGTCTTTTTGTGTCTCAATTTGTTACTGGTCTTTTGATACTATTAACACTGCTTTCAACATGCATGCATTGTAAAAACCTTAAATGAGAAATAATATTACGAGAAAAATAACATCATTGACAAAATACATAGCATTTTTTTATTAAAAGGATTTCTGGCAATTGATGTCCATTGTATATACAACATGTAAAGGACTCATGGCAGGGCATGATGGAATAATATGAGATGCTCTTAGGAAATATTCATCTTCTAGACAGTTTGCTAGTATTATTTTTGCCCTTTATGGATTTTTTTTTCAGATTTAAAAGATGAACTGGGTAGCTTTCGTAAAATGTTAACCAACCATTCTATAAGCATGACTTGAAATGTCCCACTTTCAGAAAATGCGTCAAAGGTCCTAGACTAAGCAGTATGAAGGGGATCCAGGAGTCTTATGTGGAATAAATGTGTTTGACTGAGATCCTTGACAAAGAACAGAGGGATTTCAGTGGGAAAGGGTCTGAGCACTTTCAATCTGACCAATCTGACCGAGATGTCACCAACCTGTGTAAACCACCTGAGGGAGAAAGTGAAGAGCTACAATTCTTCTCCATCTCTGAGTCACAGAAGGGAACAAAGACAAAGCCAGGTATGGTGGCTCACCCCTATAATCCTAGCACTTTGGGAGGCTGAGGCATGTGGATCACTTGAGCTCCGGAGTTCAAGACCAACCCGGGCAACATGGCAAAACCCTGTTTTTACAAAAAATACAAATATTAGCTAGGTGTGGTAGTGCACACCTGTAGTCCGAGCGGCTGAGGTAGAAGAATTCTTTGAGCCAGGGAGGTGGAGGTTGCAATGGGTGAAGATTGCACCACTGCACTCCAGCCTGGGTGACAGAGCGAGACCCTGTCTCAAAAAAAAAAAAAAAAAAAGCAGGGGAAGAGGATCAAAGACAGATGCAAGGTCATAAGCAAATCCAGGAGGGCAGCACTGTTGAGCGTGTACACATGGGGAAGTTTCTGGATGGTCCAAGAGAGTCAAGAAGCGCCTGAGGCAGAAGAATTCTAAAGCAGGCCTTCTTAGGACAAGGAAACAAAGCTTCCAGGAGGAGGCAGCCTTCTGGGACAGGTTCTACAACAAACCCTTTCTTTGCAGCTGCTGTTACCATATTTGAGGGCCTTAAAATCTGTGTGAGAAACTCAATTGGGAGTAAAGAGGGACACAGGAATGGGCTGCCCCAGGCATCTATTTTCACCACTACATCCTAATAACTGAGGTTAGGTGTAAGGAGTGTTTGAGAGGTGCCTCATTCAAGATGGGAAGAGACCAAAAATCAGAATGAGGGCTGAAGAGTTCTGCACTGAGCCATCCATAAAGAAACTCCTCGGGTGAGTAGCAGAGGAGGGAAAAAAACATTAGCAAAGAGCTCTTGGAAATAAACATATTCTTTATTAAATTACATATTTAATATTGTAAGGAAACTGTCATTAGTAAGAACCTCTATTCAATAAATGTTGCCATGGTGACAACCATATTTTCAAATTCATCAATTTTTTGCCCCCAAATCTGGGACATCTAAATACAAATGAAATAATGAATAAAAACAGCAGGTTCAGAACAGTGAGTTTAGTGAGCTCCTATTTTTGTTTTTTAAAAAGAATACATACACATCACATATATCTATATATTTATGTACATACGCAGATATACACTCTACTAGTATCTGTACAGAACAATTCTGGAAGGAGACACAAAAAACTGGTAGCCTTCAGGGAGAAGAACTGGTTAGCTAGGGATGAAGGTAGGAGGAAGGCTAACTTTTTACTATACATTATTTGTATCTTTTTTTTTTTTTTTGAGACAGAGTCTTCCCCTGTTGCCCCAGCTGGAGTGCAGGGGTGTGATATTGGCTCACTGTAACCTCCGCCTCCCGGGTTTAAGCAATTCTCTGCCTCAGTCTCTTGAGTAGCTGGGATTACAGGCACCCACCACCACGCCCAGCTAATTTCTGTATTTTTAGTAGAGACAGGGTTCATCATGTTGGCCAGGCTGGTCTTGAACTCCTGACCTTGTGATCTACCCACCTTGGCTTCCCAAAGTGCTGGGATTACAGGTGCAAGCCACCAGCATCCAGCCATTTCTATCTTTTGAATTTTATACTATGTGCATATAGTTATTTATCACAAAAATAAACGATTTAAAGACAGTCTAGTTCTAATAACATTTAAGCAGGTAATAAGTTATCACAGATACAAATCAAGATACCCAAGTGAAGCCCAAGTTTTAACCAGCTGGATATAGGATTCCTAACAGATTGGGTTAAATAAAGAATTAACTGCTCAACACTGGCTACAAAAGCAGATTAGGTCATCAGTGAAAGGCAGAGAGACCCAGAGTGAATGGAAAAGACATAGCTTGCAGTCAAATGTACCTCAGCTCAAATGCAGGCCTTATCACTTACAAAGTGAATGATCTTTTTAAGTTAACTTCTCAGAGCTTCAGTTTTCTCACAAGCAAATACAATTACTTCACCTTTAGATGAGGAAGTTGGCTGTGCGCAGTGGCTCACGCCTGTAATCCCAGCACTTTGGGAGGCCGAGGCGGGTGGAGCATGAGGTCAGAAGATCAAGACCATCCTGGCCAACATGGTGAAACCCCTTCTCTACTAAAAATACAAAAATTCCAGCCTTACCAACATGATGAAACCCCATCTCTACTAAAAATACAAAAATTAGCCGGGCGTGGTGGTGAGTGCCTGTAATCTCAGCTACTTGGGGGGCTGAGGCAGAATTGCTTGAGCCCGAGAGGTGGAGGTTGCAGTGAGCTGAGATCACACCACTGGACTCCAGCCTGGGCAACAGAGTAAGACCCTGTCTCAAAAAAAAAAAAAAAAATATATATATATATATATATTAGCTGGGTGTGGTGGTGCATGCCCATAGTCCCAGCTACTTGGGAGGCTAAGGCAGGAGAACTGCTTGAACCTGGGAGGCGGAGGTTGCAGTAAGCCAAGATTGCGCCACTGCACTCCAGCCTGGTGACAGAGAGAGACTCTGTCTCCAACAAAAAAAAGAAAAAAAAAAAAGAAAAAAAAAAAAAGAAGATGAGTAGCTTAATTAAAAAAAAAATCACTTACTTCATTGGATTTTTGGAAGTTAAATGAAGATCATGTAGGTAACCTTTGCCTAGGCATTCAGTAAGGATTTCTGAAATAAGGCAAAGACCTAGGCACACAGCAAGCACTCAGCAAATGTTCCATTTCTTCCCAAACCTCTATCTACCTCAGTTCTACTGAGAAACTAAAGGATGGGACGACAGGAAAGTCTACCTATCAGTAATCCTTTGTGAATGGTAGTTGCTTACACATTTTTTCAACATATTTTTCCAGACTTACGTCACTCACTAGTTGTGAAAGCAAATTCTTAAAACGAAAACGTATGTTTAGGCTCCCAGATCCTATTTACTCAATTCTTTCTGGCAGAAATAATCTTTTCCTCTTCTGAATGCTTAGAAAAATTATCCGTATGTCTCATCACAGTACATTCTACTGTGTATTATAGCCACTTACATATGTACTCTCCCTTCTGGGTGACTGACAATGGAAATGGCTGAATTTGTGTATGATTAGTTTTTGTTTCACCTACAGTGCCTAGTAGAAAAGTGCTTAACAAATGAAAAAATGAAAAAAATAAAACAACCCCAACTATTCATCCTTTTTTAGCAAAAACTAAATTCCTACAAAAGAAAATAGGCAAATGTGCATTTAAACCCAGATGTAATATTATAAAAGTACCATTTTCTCGACTTTGAACCATGCCTAGTGTGTTATTTGTGTCCAACTTATACGCAGACCCAAAATATGTTAGCCCTTCTGCAGATTTCACATAAAAATAAATTCATACCTTCCTGTATGTAAAATTTGTGGCAGGACCTTAGATATTGATGTTTTATGTAAGATTAGTTTTCACTTCAAACAACAAAATAAAATAATTTAGGAGAACTTACTGCTTAGGAGACTATTACTTCTTTAGATACAATCACTTCTCCTTTTCTTCTTAATATGACTACTCTGATGTTGTTCGGGTAATGATGTTTGCCCAGCTAAAGAAAATTTATTTCTAAACCTCTCTTCACCTAGGGATAACCCATAATACATATTCTGG